AGTTTTGTGGCAAAGGGCTACAAAAGTACATTTTAAACCATTAAATTGGATGTCGTTTTCGATTGGCCATTGATAAGCAGTATTGAGTGTTCTCTGAATTGCCGGCGAGTCCTCGGGTGTTGTCAATGTTTTCCATAATTTTATATCGTCTGCAAACATTAACGTTTGTGGCCCCAGGATATCCGTTAGGTCGTTTATGAAAACTAGAAAAGTTGTGGGTCAAGCACGGATCCCTATTGAACTCCTCGGGCTACGCTGATAGGATCAGAAAGTGACCCAGAAACCCGAACTGCCGTGCTGCGTTGTCGAAGAAAGTCTTCTATTCAACCCAGTACAAATCCTCGAATTCCTTAGCAGTATTCTGTGGTTCACTCGGTCGAATGCCTTGGAGAAGTCGAGATACACGACGTCAGCTGCATCACCGTGATTAGCTGCTTTTGTCCATTCTTGGGCAAGAAGCAGGTTAGTGGCACACGATCGATCACCTGCGACAAAACCCATATTGAGCAGGGGATAACACGTTGCATTTTTCCAAGTGACTCATCACACTGTCCGCAACAAAGGATTCCATGACTTTGGATAATACGGGAAGGAGAGTAACGGGGCGGTAGTTAGTTGGGTCACTGCGACAGCCACTCTTGTATATTGGAGAAATTATTCCTTGTTTTCATGTTTGTGGGAGCACAGTTTTGTCAAACATATGTTGGAATAGTTCACTTAACGGTTGAGCGGTCTTACTTGCCATGTTGATAGGGATTTGTGGGTGTATATTATCTATCCCCGGAGATGAATTCCTTTTCAAACACTGTAGTTTCGATGCTATGATTTCTGGGGGGAAATCTATTGTGGTGACTGTTGGATATGGTGTCCTCAAGTAACAGAGGCAGTCGTGGTTCATTGTTCACAAATACGGTGAACACTTGAGCGTACAGACATTTTAATATTTCTGTGGCCTCCTTTGTTGTGACTGAAATACGTCTTGCCAATCATAGCGCTGGAACGCCAGACTTACCTTTTCTGGTGGCATTTATGTTTGTGCAACAACTTGGGATTTGATATAAACTTGCGCATTAGCATTTCTTGGTACATTAACTTGTCTTCTCGCGCCAACTTCGTGCAACTTCTAGGCAGCCAGGAGGCATACCATGTGTTACTACAAGGAAAATTTGGTTTCGCTTGACATTGCAAAGGCGTTTGACTACTGTTGAAATAACCTTCGTTCAAATTTCACCCGTCTCTCGTATCGTGGCTCCAGTGTTTCCTCAGTAAGCGAACCATCTCGCTTTAATTTACCGCGGCTGGCTCCTTGGAAAGGATAAACTGGCTCCAGACATGATCATCATCAAGATCATGAAGTTCCTTGGGAGTGCGGTACGAGAGACGTCCTCAGCGTCACTCGGCGTTTTTTATTTTGAGAGCGCACCTCTAACCTTTGCACAACTAAGTGCGAACTGCAAGGCAGCACGAAGTAATCCCTCGCCTCTGAAGTGAGGCGGTCAATGGCTTTAGTTTTAAAAGGCCAGTCACATCGACCTTTGTCACGACACCGTCATTCGGCTTATGCGGCTTTTAAACGGGAGCCAGGTGACCAGCCTGAGACCCACCGCACCCTGGTAGTGCCGCCGCTGTTTGTTCGTGACTGCATATTTGCTGCGGTATGCCACAACTTATTCACAGCTAACTGTTCTTCGGTGAAGGTATCCCCCTATCCACAACCCAGGGACGCGCCTAGTAGGATTCAGCTCTGCTTCACCTGAGGGTATCCATCTCCGTCAGAGTCGATGGGATCCTATCTCGCTCTCTCTCTCTCTTTCTCCTGGGTTTATCCATAAATTTTTCTCTCTGCTGGTCTCCCTTTATAGCCACACTCGACTCTCACACTGCGCGCAAATTCGGTTCTCTATTCCGAGCCAGGAGCTTCTTTAAATCCACCCCACCTTCTCCAACCACTTATATAGTAATTATTCTTTTCAAAAGCAGAATCAACAAGTATTGGTTCTGATCTGAATGTTCCCTATTATAGTATGCCTTCCACCGTGTGGTGTACTACTGTTGCTGCTGTGTAAATCCTATTGCGTAATCTAAAAGAGGAGAAAATGTTTTTACACGGCCAAACGGTTAGGAATTGTATCGACACCAGAGGAGTAGTTTAAATTTATTCTTTTGCAAAGAATTTGGACCGGGAGTATTGAGGACGGAATTTTAATTACTTCTCAACTGGACCACGTTGGATGCACATGAGTGAACTGGGAATTTTCGGTGGGGCAGCAGGTTTTCTTTTTTTACGAACAGAATGAAACGGACAACAGCAGCAGGGAAAGACACGAATTCGACGAACTCCCTAGACTGGGCGAATGTCCCATAACGGAGTCATAATGTGACTTAGCAGGGTCTGAATTCTGAACAGCGGAAAGCGCTGGAGTCAGAAAGAGATGATTGGACGTGTAAGTACTGCGCGCAGTACATACTGTTCAAACCAGGCCGTGCGAGTGTATGGACGGCCAAATAACCATAAACTGGCATGCAGAACAGTATGGACACCGGGCAGCTGTGAAATGGAACGCGTCTGAACGCATCGAATAGATGCGGAGTGACAGACAGACAGACAGACACGGAGAGATAGACATACATAGAGATAAACGGGCTACCCAACAAGACTGCGCAACGGGGCACAAACACGTACCCGCAAATGCATGACCGACCTGGTCCACTGGACGTGTGCGTACGTGTGTGTCGATGTGACAAAACCAGTTGGTAGGCTGATTTGCACACGAAAACTCTATGCCCTACAAACTCTTAGATTCTAGGGTCGTAGTAGGTGAGCAAACGGGCACGAAATTGACATGCAATCTGTTTGGTTTTTAGGCGGATCAAAAGTTACACTACGATACACTTGGGGTGAACCAACTCAGTGGGGAAAAAACCGAAAACAAGCCAGGTGCTTAGTTTCAATAGCCGAGGGGAAAACTCACGAAAGAGCCACCACCTACCTTGATCTCCCCAGTGTTTTTGTCAAAAGCCACATGCAAATCGTGTTTCACGTCTGTGGGTCCAGATATCTGTGGTTCCGTCTTGTCTGAACGCATTAGGTTGTGCCATCGGAATAATTTAACTGGGAAAAAAAACGAACATAAGTGATTCATAATGATATACGATATCGATCGAACGGCAAGTAGCTCGTGAAACTGAACAATAGTTAAATGGAAACTGGAAAAACAAACTCGTATAGTGGCCTGTAGCGAACTGTAAAATTCGCATCGGTGTTCTCATTCGTTTAGACCACCAGCTCGCTCTACTGTGAGAATTTAGTGATGAAATGAATGAAGCAAGAAATGGGTACATGTAACAGCGTGGACAGTAAATGGCAATCTTCAAGCAAGAAAGTTTTGAACATCGATACAAATGAACAGTAACGTTGAACCCGCCCTTAGTGCGCCTCCCGGTCGCGGAGAACGAAAGAAAGATTCGAGACAATATACGAACGCAGTGGGTTGGTGTGTATTCACGTTTTCAGTGAAAATGAACCAGAAACAGATATAATGCGCACATACAGTGGAAAACATACGCACTAGTTTAAAATATACTAACGAGTAGAACTGAAGTCTTTCATATCAAGAATAGAGTCATACATAGGGTTGGGCGTAAATGGATGCAATGTACGAATAGGCCCCGTTACATGGAACTGACATGCGAGCAGATAGAAAAATACACATACGAAATGGAGAGATCGGGTGCCCCCTAGTCCAGTGTTACCATGGCACACTGACCGGAATTTCGGGCAACCCGTTGCCATGACTCCCGGGCAGATGATTCATTCGCGTGCTCACCTGTGCCCACTCGAACAGACGATGGGCAAGTTTAAGGATTACGATGACGCCCAATGGACTGGGTGTCAAACAGTCCAAAGTTGAAGGGGTGATAAACATGATATGCAACGTTAGTCAGGCAAGTTATAAAATGCCTGGCCATTGGGGTTTCACGAATTTACAAACCGATCTACCAGAGTGATTAACACGATCATCGGTAAACCAAGTGAAATTGAATTCTTCCACGCTGTGAAAAGCGCTCTCGAAGAAAAGCTTACATTCTAGTCACATCCGTGGGACAAATCAGAAAATGAGGCGAATATTATACAAAACCAGAATGGTTCTGAGGAGGAGGATTGTGCAAAACACACTCAATGAAGTCATATCCCAACAGGGACTAGAAAATCACACACCAGATTGATCGACCTGATCGCAGATAATACTTATTTGTGTAACGCGTTTTGAAATTTGTGAAACGAGGACACTTATTGTCGCATGGCTCAAGTCCCTGTGTGAACTATGAGGGCCGCAAACTCCGGTCACCAGTTTTACTGTAATGCGACAGTTTGTGGTTTGATCTTATAAATGTCGAGATCTAGAGTACCTATTGTTCTCTCAATTGTATGATGCTCATCCATATTACGGTTTACAACACACAACGATATGTGACAAAAAGCCCGAGACAGATAGTCTCGGTTAAAGTTGTCCACCTGGTTTCCATGTCAGGTCTTCCTTCGATCCCGATTAAACTTTCACCGCTTAGGTGTTTCAGCAACCTGGAACTCTGCGCCTTACATGAGCATTGCTTGTCCGGTTGCCCCATGAAACCAAGCGTAAGCAAGATATGAACTGATGTGGGGATGTGAAAACTCTGATCAAAGAATTCGATAACACGGGTCTCATTGGGCTACGAAATTGGGGGGGGGGGGCCTTCGGATCAATCCAGGCAATGACTTGAGACTGTGTCGCAAGCAACAGCGCCATCATCACCATTGTACTGAAAACAAGGCTTAGTCGAATGATCCCATGAATGTTTTGTCATTCATTCACCGGGAAAAGCCGGCTAACTATACAAACAATAACACATAGTATAAGTATGGGATAAAATTGCAGGAGACTTGATTGAAATACAACTTACCCTTTTTTTTCTTTTTCTTTTCCTCTTTCGGAGGAGGAGTCGGAAGGGGTTTGGACAGTGGGAGGACAGGTCGATCTTTTTTTCGTCTGAAAATAATTTGACAATTGGTAATTGATAGTTATGGATACAATTAGTGAGAATAAGAACAACAATTGATTTACATGGTTATCAACAATAAAGTGTATCGTAATATGGTTGAACGCCGTACGCCTTTCTGAGATTCAAGAATTCCAATGGGTTTTCAAGTTAAGTAAATGATGCTGCTTGAAATGACACATGAATGGAGACTGGGTTAAGAATTCAATGGAGCTAAAGGTTATAGATATAAAACTTTACAACTGAGTAAGAAGTAGTGCTTCTCGGAATTACCTATTCATTAAACCTAAATATCCGTGGAAATTCCATACCACATTGCTCGTCCCGCAGTACAGAATAAATTATGCCATTCATTGTAAGCCGAAAATGAGCAGCCATCGGTGTGCTACAAACTGCTGAGTGTCAGCTTTCTTTCCTATATCAGCAATCCCATCCTACACTGTGCCTTACGTTATCTTGCACAATATCATATTGATTGAGCTATACACACAGACACACACACAGCACTTCTCTCCCAAACTCGACCTTGAACAGAACAGTTTTCAACTGCGTTCTCTGCAACATGCTTAAACTTTCAATTAATAATCACTCTTTTCCTATCTCTCCTTTTTCTACTACCGTTGTGTTCCGAAAACACGTTCTCCAAGGTTCATGTTTACTTTGTAATTAT